AAAAACCAATGTATTATCTCAATTGATCTTGATATTTTAGACTGACCGGAGGCCGTATTTCTACAGTGTGCGTATTTTTTGACAGCTTTTTTTTTGAATCTGCGAGAGATCCAGGTCACGCTGGTCACGGGCACTGAAGGGTGTTTATATGTGTGCAATTTGCCGACAAACAAGAGTTCGGTACTGTATAATATAAACCGAATTAAAAATACAGACAACGCAACATACTACCGAGCTTGGCTCACTCCCTGCTGTGGGTATTTGTAATGTTTCACAATTTACCTGTTGTGGGTATTTATTTAAATAAATATAAATAGTGTAAAATAACACTTCAATGCATTGTAAATAAATAAATTCATCCACTTCCGATATCGTAGGGTCAATTTTGTGATTAGCACATAAAAAGTTGGTCCGCGCTTCAAACCCCATCACCTCAACTCATATGCCCAGTTTTATACAGCAACTTACGAGCCCACAAAATGGCTTACAACAACGTGCCTTTTGGTAAGTCAACCGATGAAGCAACAAGAATCCACTTGGAAATACAGATATGTAGCCCGTATGGGACCAAGTTTGAAGAAGAAAAATCTTCAGCGTACATATTGTGGATTGCAAGCTTTACAATGAATAGTCTGAATATGAATATCTAGGAATACCACCATGTACCTCGAGTGCAAGCGTTCTATACGTGGGTACATATACAGGAAGCATAATCTTCTAATGCAGTCGAAAACTCGGCTTTCATCTGAGTTCAAGACTTTTCATTTGCATTTTCAAATCAGAGAGTGTAAACGGTCATACACACATACACATGCGCACATATGGTGTTCTATATACATATGGGTAAAAATAGTATATATATATCTATCTCTATCTATATATACATACATATACATATATATATTTATATACTGTACATGTATATATTTATATAGATATATATATAAATATATTTATATATATATATATATAGCCACACACACATACACACACATAAACATATACTTATATAGATATATATATATTTATATATATGCCTGGGTCTGTGCCTGTGTCTATGTCTCTGTTTGTGTTTTTATTTTGTGTGTATGTGTGTGTATATTCGCATAATCTCTCTCTCTCACACACACACACTCACATATATATATATGTTTGTATATATATATATAAGTATATATATATATATATATATACATATATATTATTTTATATTGTATGTATGTATATACATATGTATATATATATATATATATATATATGCGCACACTAACACTTGATATATATTGTTTTATAATATTAATATATATTTCTATATTTGTATTTTATATACACATATATGTATATATATACATAATTTGTATATATATATTTGTACATTTATTACAGGCATATATTATCTATAGATATTTTATATATATATAGGCTGTGATTGGAACCCACGAGCACCAAGCTCATAAATTAGCACAATTTTCCTGAACGTTCGTACGTTTCTTTTAGCTGGAAGTATATTTTTGTTATCAGACGAGCATGCCCTAGGTAGGCAGATGCTACTAGATCATCATGTTACGCTTTATTGACAAAGTTTTCGTTTCTTGCTTTTAGGTTTGTCAATTGCAATTTCGACTGCTAGTGCTCAAAATAATAGCATGTTTCATCGTCTGTACCCAATTACCTGCCATAATACACATTGCATGAGGGCTTGGTGTATGTCTCTTTGTACTAATAAAAATCACCCTTCGATCAAACGAATATGACTATTTTAACCTTATCAATAGGTAACCCAAACATGGTTCCCCCGGGGATGTCTTCAATGGGCTTACCCGGAAGGGGTCCTCCAGGTTTGGGACCGCACGGCATGAGTGGAAAGAATTGTCTTCCCGGTATGGGGGCGCCAATGAGACCGATGATGGGCCAAGCGATGATGCGGTCGCCGATGGGGATGGTGCCGCAACAATGGCGCCCGCCGATACCGAACTCTATGGGCCCGGCAGGTGGCAATCTTGCGCCACCTGGGAGCGGACCACGAATGTTTAATAATACTTCTGGAGCCGGCCCAGGTACCTCTAAGATTTAAGGTCTCCCATACACTTAAATTCGTAGTTGAATTTATATATACTATCAGTTTGACAAGTATATTGTGGTTGTAGACCATTTTGAGTTTCAGTGTTATTCCAGTTCGGGCGTTGTTTTAGTTCTCATTGTAGCTCTGGATTTTTTTTTGTAGGTGCGGCTATGGCCCCAGGTATGACCTCGTCAACGGGTTTGGCCATACCGCCAGGTGTGAACATGAATTTAGGAATCGGGCCGCCAACCAATATGGGTGGAGCACCTGGAATTGCCAACATGAGTAATCCGACTGGCCCAGGTGCTGGGGCATCGACCAACTTTGTTCCTGTGGGTGAAAAGGTCAAGCAGGCAAGATCGCTTTTCGTGGTTATGTAGTACGCCATATACGTCGCCGCTGTAAATGCCTTATTCTTTAATTCTGTTGTTTAGTGCATCTATAAATTGGCAAGTCAATAATATAAAGGGCACACGTATATGGCAAATCTTTCATGTTATTCAACACGACTATGCGTTTCCTTACAGTATGTATTTGTATTAAGCGAATACCGTGCGATTGAATTCGGGAGAGGCTGTATCATATCTTACTTTGCTTCTGCTTTCTCTTCTGGTCGACAGGGAGTGACAGTGTTTGTAGGAAATATATCTGCAAATATTCCCGATAAAAGTTTAGAAAGTATACTCAGATCATGCAGTACTGTCACTAAATGGAAAAGAGTGAAAGGCGCGGCTGGCAATCTTCAAAGTTTTGGCTTCTGTGATTATGATAGTGAAGAGGGGGCACTTCGAGCACTCCGTGTACTGAACGGAGTTCGCATCGGCGAGAAAGGTGTGATGCTTATGTTAAAAAAATTATGGTTTAGTTGAATTTTTTCTGTTATTTTGACGATTGCTGATTGAAACTTTGCCACACCTCGAATGATCTAAGCTAACAGTGCATCCCTCCAAATTTTATTGGGTATCCGCACACTCTTTTGAAGTTCTGAAGGTCACAGTGGATGAGAAAAACAACAAACTTCTCGAAGAATACAAGGCCAATCAAGCGGCAGGAGATGTGGCGACTCAGGTAGGTTTGTGATCAGCATCGTGTAGCTTGCATACATTTTACCGGTGAGCTCCAGATATATCGGGAACACTGTTTGAGATAGTGTTTCGTTGCTGGCAGAGTCTCATAATTTTGATCTCTAACTAGTATAATTTAGAGTCGTCTATTTGATGAACTGAACCTTGTTGTATACACACAGAGTACTGAAGACGAAGCCCTGTCAGCTCAAATCCAGAAGATCATAAAATCGAATGTAGACCTTGTTAGTGTTGCAGATCTAAACGAGTCGAATGCAGTCACAAATGCTAGTGGGGCCAGCGAAGAGAAAATCAAGGAAAGGGTAGAGGTGAGTTCTTGACCCTGATTACCTTCTTTCATAATATCAATACCACAGCTTTCGATTGATCCGTCCATTACTTCTTTGGTCTCTAAGTTGGGTGCAAATTACTTTCCGAGCCACAAATTCAGGGGGTTTTTTTTGCCACATTGTTTACTCTTGTCCACCTGAATTGTCAAAATTTATTGAACCGCCACCCGAGTTAGACTATAAGTACTGAGATTGGGCGGTTTAGGGAAAATGAGAAGAAAGAATCAGAGAGAAGCAATAGAAATGTGAAAGGCAAGGAAGAGAGCAAACGACGTCGCAGAAGGTACGATATTCTGGTTGAATGTGTGGGCATCACGAAATTTGTATATGGCAGCGTGTCTACCTACCCTTATAAATTAATATAAGATCTCAATTTCGTTGTCTGCGGTATCTGGGCGTGAGTACATCGGACGTAGGTAAATATATAAGAACGTTCATAAATATACATGCTAACGCACACTCACGTGATGCTCACTGATTAGTCGCAGTCGCAGTCGTGAAAGAAGGAAGGAGCGCAGAACAAGTATGGAGCGAGCAGACTATACCAAGGATCGAGCGAAAGCGATTGAAAACGAAGAAAGACGGCTGACAAAACTACAGAGGGATTCTGAATACGAATTAAAAGAGGTGAGTTATAAATTTCTAGATCATTTTTCTTGCTACAGTATTAATATCAAAATGGCCGATTCGTATTGTATATTGAATCGAAAATCACTTGCTCGTTTTTTCCTCGATTTGCGGTGAAAGCTGGAACGTATAACAGAAAGGAAAGACAAAGAGAGAGTGAGGGAATTCCAAAAAAAGCAAGAGAGAGAAGAGATCAAAGAAAATGATCGCTTACGAGCCCAACGTAAACGGCGTGAGCGAGAAATGGAATTCGCCGGGAATTTTGATGACGAACACGATGATGCAAAGTATTTCTCTTCGTCCGTTCTGAAGAAGCTTCGATTAGAGAGAGCACGTGAAGTCACTCAAGATGAACGGGACAAGGTGAGTTGCGAAGTAAGCCCATTTAGGCTCGGCTCATTATTTCCGAAAGGTTTGTTGCTAATTGGTCACTGGACGGTCTGCGATCAAAATATCGTGTTATCTATTTTAAATCTTCAAAATCTGTCGTGATTTCGATATGTGTGATTGCAATGGCGCTCTACATTTAAGCCAGCGGACACTTTCTGCTTGTTTTTAATGGCTAACCGCGTCTGCTGTTTTCGTACATTGCCTAATGTTATACTTTAGTCGAGAGAATCGGAAGTGCTAGGCGAGCTACCAGACGATGAGGACGATCTTTTCATCATAAAGAAGCCAGAGGTGCCAGGTAATTTCAATTGAGTATATTCTATCTCTACTGCTACGCTGCGGCGTGTATATTCTATATATCTGTATATATGTATACATATATACATATATATATATATGTGTGTGTGTATATGTATATTTATATGTATATGTATATGTGTATATATATATATATATTTATGTATGTATGTATACATATAAATATATATATATATCTTGATTTGCTGTTATGTATATTGTAATAGTCAGGATACTACTACATTACAGAATTGGTGCACCCCGAAGGCTATTTTGACGAAGCGAAGCTTATGAACGAAGGTCTATCAGCAGAGGAAATAGCGGCTGAGAAAAAGAGTCTTATGATGGCAGTGATAGCTCGTGTTCCGCAATCGGAGGAAGTATTGTTCCAATTTGATATCCCTTGGGAGATGCTTTCTGCGGTAGGTACTTCGTACCTCGCAAATTTGGATTGCCACTACATCCCTATTTTAACCCGGCGTTATGATGTGAATTGAACTGGCATTGCATTTTTCGAATACTTTAGCGAGTATAATATTTAAAATTCGCATATTTGCTGATTTGGTGAGAACACAGGCTATGTTCGTCAAAAGGATACAACCATGGGTCAACAAGAAGATCACAGAATATATAGGTATGTTTATAGCTTGCACGACTTGCGTAGCGAAAGTGAAAGAAATAACTCTTGGTTACAAATTGGGATAGGCAGAGATCACTTATACATATGTATTTTTTGTACTATGTTTTCCTAATATCGTGATATAGGTGAAGAGGAGCCCTCACTAACGGAATTCATATGCGATAAAGTGAAAGTTAGGACACCTGCGGCTGAGATTCTTACAGATGTTGCACAGGTACGTGTTCGCGATTCGAGAAGGCACGCTTTTGTATTACAATTTCATTGGCAGTCATCGATCATTTTGGACCAATATTCAGTTCATTCTGTTTTTGCCAAACATTCAGGTACTGGACGAGGAAGCCAACATATTTGTTGTCAAGCTGTGGCGATTGCTCATATATGAGTGTGAAGCCGCTAGGCTCAATCTTTCTGCTTATGACTAAATGAATGAAAATTAGATACTGACTACGAACACATTAAAGAATAGTACTTGGTTTGGAAGGCTGCATCAATGAATATTTATCTATCAGTTGCCCAGTATATACGCATCTTTGCTTTGTTTCATATACGTATTGTAAGCACGTTTGAACTTTTCCACTTGCAAGGCAAAGAGTGCCATTATACGAAGGTGCACGCACTCATTAGCACCGTTTTGGGCATACCCATATACATATATAAACACAGATCTGAAGTCTTACACAGAAGCTAGATGTACAGAGACATGTACATATATAGATCATATGGGAATGAATTTGCACATTCTCCCAAAATTATTGTATATTTCGCACATCATGCACAATAGTATCCAATGGAGTAACATCATAAAATATGAACATACATCCGTATTAGTATAAACGAGCAAATGTTTGCACACAAGTGGACAAATATGTACATGAATATATGTATCTTTGAGTTATATATCTACGTATAATTTATCCCTACTTGCAAACACAAATGCACAAATATATAAATACACATAAACATATACATATATACATACACATACTCGTACACATACATATACACTTACACTTACACATACATATACAAATACTCATAGCACATACACACTATATTTATACGTGTACTTGTACATACACGTGCACATACACGTACACGTGCACATATAAATATACATACACTAAAACATATACGTGTTTACACTCGCACATATACAAACAAACACGCATAAACATATTCTAGAACACATAACTATATCATCCACATCCACAAAAATAATTCAGCTACACATGCGTAATAAAAAAATGTGTACAAGCACGACCATTGCATCCTAAGAGAATGACCCACAACGGTATAAACTGCTGGTGGCATGAGATCGATGAGCGTTTTTGCTGAGCAAATAATAAACTAAAGTTGTTAACCACATTTTTATGCGAGTTGCTCACAGTGGATCCGCGTTGTTATTGAGTATATAATAAACTAAAAATGTCGACCAGATTTGTGCGAACTCCTCATAATAGGTGTATCACTCACAATAGGTGTGACAGAGCTTGGTGTTGATGGAGCCTGGAAGTTGGTGACCATGCCGTACAGACCAATTTTTGTAAGTCGTTCTAGCGGCTTTTTATATTACTAGATTGGCATCAGTATTGAACTACTTTGGAAAGAATAGTTCAAAATGATTCACCCTGAAAGGTAACAGGTGATGATATGTTTTGTTTTTTGTTTTTTTAAATATAATAAAAACAGATTCAATATAAATGAAGCATAAAATATAAAAGGGAGGGGCCCGGGGGGTCTCTAAAGTATTCAGCATTCTCATCCGGCTAGTATAAAAAGTTGATAATTGAATTCGCTCGCTACTTGTGTATTTTTAATTTTTTTTAAAGCTAGTATTAAAAAAATTCTCGCTCGCAACTTGTGCAATATTTTAATAATAATAAATTTTAATTGTCATATTTAGCCTGCTACTGCATTCAGTGTATAATATTAATTTAGAGGGCTAGGTCAGGTAATATTAAAAATAGATAATTTAAATTCGCTCGCTATTTGTGAAATACTACATATTAAATAATAATAAAATTTAATTGTTATAAAAAAGGAATGTGAGGGGGGGCTAGTATTCAGTACTGTATTCCCATCGGGGTTGCAAGCTTCTATTCAGAACCGGAGTTCAACTATTTTTGTTTTTGTGTTTAAATTTTGTTTTTTAACTACAAAAGTAAGGTCTTTTTTTACACCCCATCCACCTACCAAGGGGATCTGATTTTAACGAAACTGGTCCAAAACAGTAAATACGGAATTGGACCAAAACCCGATATTTTTGCAAGTGTGATTTTAAGAAACATTCACAAAGGCGTCTGAAAAAGCGCCATCCCGATAGCATGTTTTGTTCGCATGATACAGCTAGTTCAGTGTACATGATTGTGTCGATTTCAGAGGTACTAAAACATCGATTTATGTATGTGTTCTGAGTACTATACTGCATTTATATGTTGTATATAGGTTATTAAAGTGTTTTAGAGTATATTGAGAGCTTCTTAGGAGCGTTGGAGGTGGTTAGAGGACAGTTGGTGTGTGATGATCGATGCATGCGCATCGATTGAATGCATGACGTCAGAGATTGACCATCATGCTTACCTGTAAGTGTAAAGTCAGCAAATGCGATGGATGTTTATGCTGTTCCCGCTGTGAATGCAAATGCAATGGGGGGCAGACTATTGCCAGTCTACAACGGAAAAGAGGGCGTCCTGTTGGGTCTAGTGACAACGTAGTACATGCTTATACCAAACGCACGAGTAATCGTGCATCAGCAAAACGAGCTAAGATGTGTATCAGTGAGCAGAGTCAGCTGGACGAGAACGGTAGTGTAGGAGAGAAGGCTTCGAAAGTATCTTTCATGACTACAGCAACAGATATATGGAACGCATTCGGATGGTCACATGTAACAAACCGTAATATACCATCTAACAATCCACGTGAGTCAGACAAGCATATCAAGGACACAGACAATACCGGCTGGAGTTGTATGAGCAAAAGTTTGGTTAGTGGTGCGGTAAGACTCTCTGAATTTCTGTATCCAGCAAACCCAAATTTGCTACTGAAAGAAGCAGCGCGATCAATAACCGGTCCTGTGGGAAAGCAGAATAATAGTAACACAGAAGTTACACAAGAATCAAACCATTCTAAGATCAATAGCCAAATAGCAAACAAAGTAATAGAAGTGTATAATGTAGCTCCTAAGGGGAGTGTACAAAAGCGGAAGAGCTCTTATTGTTGCGGGTACTACGATCAAAACACGAAAGGAAATGAAAGCCGAAGGACTTTTCAACTGTCCGGCACACGTTTAGATCAATCATTCCGCGATATGAGACAAATGATGACAGGGGAGCCACTCATACAACCTGTGTATAGTAGATCAGGTTCGATGATGCAGCGCTTAATAGAGCAATATCCTTTATACTGTCAGATGAAGTAGATGGTACTTTATCATGGGGAAAAAAGACGATAAAGCTATCCGCAGACGAGACAGTAACTCTACCTTCACTCACAAGAAAGCTTCCATCTCAGTTAATCTATGATCGATACACTGCTCTGCAGAATATAGACAAACGTATATCTCGCGGAGTTTTTATAGTGTCCTCGCAGCACTGACTAACAAGGATGAAAAGCTTTCAACGGCAGTCGACTACGTAACAGGAACGCTAGTTAACGATGTGATAGTACAGTTAAAAATAACCACAAACGATTTTGTTGTAGACGTCACGGAGAAGAAACTAATAACAACCAACATAGAGCTCCTGAAGACATTTCTGAAGCAACAGTACGATGATCATGTGACAAACGAAGATGATTGTAGTTTACACTAGATACAGTACGCACTTGATCAGCCTAGCGACATAGCTACGAGAAAGGAAAAGAGAAGTGCAATGGTTGTGACTTTTTAGAATATGTTTAGATGCAATTATCTATCGCCGTGCAGTTCTGCACACAGAAGTCATCAAATTTAAGGGATGACGCACTATTCGTTCTGGATGTATGTTTTGAAAAGTTGAAAATATACATGGAACATCGAGTTCGTGTAAAGAACCAGCAAACCGCTATTGTGGACATACTAAAGGATATAGAAGGTAGATGTAACAAGGATAGAGGGAGCACGGAATCGTTTACAACAATGGACTGGAAGATGAAATGGGAAGCGACATCTACACGAAAATCCTCTCAAGAACACTTCGGAAAGAGAGGTTTCAATTGGCATGGCTTCATGACGCAATATTTTGTATATGAAGAGTGGATTGAGTTTGACAACTTAGGTAATTATGGGTGTGATTACTATAAGTGTGTTTTTAATCGATTTATCTATCATCACACAAACATACACATTGAATACTGTTATCATTTCTTGTTTATAGGCAATGCGATCGACAGATGTGGACCAGTTCGTCATATAGTTTATGGAGATCAGATATTCGAGCAAGGTGGACGGGTACTCTGTGGCGAGTCTAACAGAAACTTATCTTCGACAATTGAAACGAGAGGTACCGAATATAAAGACTACAATCTTATCTTCTGACAATGCAGGTTGTTACTAAAGTAAGGGGTTAATACTACTACTGCCGCTTCTGAACCTGATGCTAGATATCTAGATCGTACGTTTCGTGCATACCGAGACACAAGATGGAAAAGGTGTATGTAATGATATTCATTTTTTTATTGTGGTAATGTCTGAATTTCACTCCTGTGTTTATTAGCTGCATATATACGACAATAACCTCTGCTAATCTGAATATATGTGATACTGTATACAGCTCATCGACGCCCATTTTGTCCGTGGGACAACACATTGCATGATCTTTATGAAGACCTCACAGCGCAACTTGATAAAAGAGATTGCGACTCCCAAGAGGTTGAGTGCTGCACTAGCGTGTAATGGTGGCATACTCCGTTGTTCAGCTGGTAAGGATCGACGGGGATCTTCAAGTAATAGTACAAGCAAGAGTAAAATCTTTGGCCGTGTAAATGACATCTACTATGACTCAGTGGATTGTCCTTTGGAAGGTACGGACAGACAGAATTTGGAGAAAGCACTACACAGTGCAACAATCAAGTTCCATGCCTATACGTACTCTAACATTGGTGAAGGTGTAAAATTATCCGTAAACTATCAAACAAACAAAAGTAGCCGTTAGTGCGAAAGATGCTCACAACCCAATACCAACCTCTGAAGATAGTGATGAGATAGACAGTACTAGTGGTGAGGGCGGATAAGATTTAGATAACAATGTAGCTAACACAAGCGCTAACAGTGGAGTAGACTATATAATTGATCATGATGCAAACGCTAGTAGTGATGGTGCACTTAGTCGCGATAACATGTCAGTAGAGCAAGTAGAAGAAGAGGTCAATACGATATTGGAACTCATGGGTAGTGATCATGACACTGGTGATATGGCGGCTGACATGTATTCTAGTTATGGTTCGATACCACAGGATATTCCATATCTTCTAAAAGCCGTGGTAGTGAAGGCGTCGAATATAGGCAACATTCTAGGTACACGTAATGCCAGGCAGAGAAAACGCAAAGAGAAACATATACCAACAACTACCATGAAAAGAATAGACTTAGTTGCTACTAGTATTCGTCGTGCTGCATACCTTATAGGTAGCCACGAAGTCGCCATTCGTGATGGATCAACTAACTTCCCAGAGTTAGATCTAACAGATAGTGTTATACAAACAATGAGAAGCAAACAAGGCTGGGCTAGGCGACGACCACATGGATCACAGTACGGTACAACATTCATTACTAAGTATCCAAGTGATATACGAACATACTTTGAACTGGGTGAGCAGGACTCTGCCCGCAAGATGCAGCCCGGGGCAATGCTCGATCAGCTACGCACAGACTACCCCGTGTGCTATTCACTTCCGGGCGAAAACGAAACACGAGTTCTAGTATCAACACTAATGGCCGACAAAAAGGCCACACAAAGGACGGAAGGCTGACGAGACAAGGCAAGCTGCCGAGGTAAAAAGCGTGGCTGCTGCTTTGGCGCGTGGCGAAGACGCGTCATTCAATGATTCAGCACCACAACGACGTGCCAAGACTGTCAAGTTTCCAGGAAAAAATATACCACACATCGTACACTTGGTTAAGGTGGACATGCAAGTGAAGTATCAATCAGTATACAGCAGTCTACAGAAGGAATATGAAAAAGAAGGCGTTTGTCCAGAAGACCCCCCAACACTACAATTGGTACAGAAACAAGTCATATATCAAAGGACCAAGTCGTAAAAAGGCACAAAGCAAGCGATGTGATGTCAAGTGATGCATGCGCATGCGCATCAAGTGATGAGTTAGCAATAAGTGTTGTTTATTGTACAATTATGCTTAGTATGATCCAAAGCCTGCATATATAGTGTATATTTACCTTATTATATGTCTACTTGTGAAAGAAAAGGTCGTGTGCGACGTGTTAAGGTCAGGATATCGGTTTTTACCGCTATTAGAGGTGCGGATTTCATGTTGTTAGTGCGAGGTGTTCTAGTGATGCTACAGACATGGCGTCTTTCTCAGAGCCTTCTAAATACCTAATTATTCCGTCACAAGTCTTATTTTGGTTATTGGCATGATTTCGTTATTTTTGGGCCGTTTTAAACCACTCACTACTTGTTGACGGAGGCCCCACAGTAAACTATATGCACAGTTCAGCACGAAAACTACTCACAAACATCGAAACGGGTAAATTCCCTTCAAGAATGGCCGATAACAGCATCAAATACATCACTGTTCGCGGCACATTAACCCAACTGGGCTCTACATACCTGGATCCGGATCTTGCCCATGGACTCATCGCCCAAAATAATCTCCAGGATTGTTGTTTCACACTCAAGCTTTCCGGAGATCGCCAAGAATGCCATCTTGGACTCAGCGCGTCCTCCAATATGCTACCCCGAACTTCAGGTGGCTACTATGTCTCCTACGACTCAATACAACAATTACTCTCTCCTCCGAAGACCTCACTTCCGACTACTGCACGTCCACCTTCTATCCTGACCACCCCCAGAGCCCCCCTACTGGCTACTCTGCCTCACAACCCCACCGTCGACCTTTCAACGCCTCACGCCGCTACAATAACGGCCAGCAACTCAATATCAGCTACTAATTTACCTGGCACCAGCCCTAACCCAACACCACCTCCCCATCCACCAACAACACCATCTCCTCTACCGGAGACTACCCACCCTTCATCATCAAAAACGCGTACACCACACACATCGGGGCACTCTTATATGTTTTAACTATACCCCCATATATTGGAGGTCGCAAAAACAGAAAACAGTTTCCATCAGCTCTGGAGAAGCAGAATATATCACAGGCTCTGAGACAACCCGATCTATATATAGCCTGGAGCCGCAACCTAATGACGGCACTTGGCTACAGATTAACTCTTCCAACCCGCTTGCATATTGACAACTAGAGCGCTATCAAGATAGCTTTCGGCACGGGCACTCCTAAGGGTCTTAAACATATAAATATACGTCATCACTATATCCGTGACAGTGTGCGCCACGAAATGATAGACCTTGCGTACATATCAACCCATGATAACCCGGCTGATCTTCTCACGAAGAGTCTGGCTCATCCCAAAGATACCACTTTCCGTGATATGCTAATGTCCGAACCATCAACCCAAACTCCATCTTCGGGTTTCCGGGGGGGGGGGGGGGGTAGGAGAAACCTAGTTTATCCTCTTTTAGGTCCTAAACCTCAACTGGGTTTTTCTCTAGACTGCCACGCGACACTTGAACGGTCCATGTGTAGCATAATATTCTGTTCATTATAAGTAGTTTTTTTTACCTTGTAATAAAAGTTTAGTTACTAAGAAGCATCTGAAGGATAGGTCTCTATAGTTTCCATAAAACACGGCTGGGGCGCCGCAGAGACCAATAGAGTTTCTTCAAAAAGGGTAGCTAATTACTTGTGCAGGGTGAGCTGAGGCCTGAGGGTGAGATTTCTTGATGTAACCTTTCTCCCTCACTTTCACTCAACACACACAAATACGCACTGTCGTTCAGTCACGCACGCTCACACATAAACACACTTACCCACCGGGGGGAGGGGGGTGGAAAGCCCCCCTACCTTTTTCTATGAGGAAATACTCTAAATGTACATGGCCTACGTGGAAAAGTCACTAAATGTACATACAGATTTACGGGTACGTTTTCTAATTACCCAATCAAATTCTCTAAATGCGAGTTTCAATTATTTTCTCAAATTTATTTTAATGAAAAATTGAAAGTACAAAAAAAAATTGTACATTTGGTGACTTTCCAGTGCTATAATTTATCTTATGACACCAGGGTTCGACACCAGTTCAGAACCTTTTTATAATACAAGGGTTCAACACCAGTTCGGTATTTTACATGGCCGCGTGTTTTATAGTAAATTTGATTTTTCAAAACCAGTCTCTGAAGAATCTTCCACGACAAACAATTATATTAATACTAAAATCTTTTGCGCACCATTATACTGCTGAGAGCTTGTACAAAGAACTACGGCTGTATGCTAATACACTTTGAGCGGTGACACAATACAATCCAAGCGTAGTGCAAAAGTATATAAATTGTACAACACTCAGAAAACAACTGCTCAGGAATAAAGTCTTCCAGTAGACTAGACGTAGACAGACAACGAATATAGCTGAATCAAACACCAGACGTCGACTGTACACCGGACACAAAGGTCAGTAATATAATCTGTAAGCAAACGTTATATGTATGTATGTACGTATGCATGTATGTATGTATGTATGTATTTATGTATGTATGTATACACCAGACGTCGACTGAACACCGGACACAAAGGTCAGCAATACAATCTGTAAGCGAACTTTGTATGTATGTATGTACGTATGCATGTATGTATGTATGTATGCTTATATGTATAATTGTATGCTTATATGTATGTACGTATGTAAATATATGTATGTTTGTATGTAAGTATGTATTTTGTTTTGTTTGTATGTATGTATGTATTTATGTATGCATGTATGTATGTATATATGTATGTATGTATGTATATATATATGTCGTATGTATGTATAAATATATGTGTATGTATGTCTGCATGTATGTATGTATGTAAGAATGTATGTATGTATGTATGTATGTATATATGGATGCAAGGATGTATGCACATATATATATATATATATATATATATATATGTGTGTGTGTGTGTGTAGT